TTATGACATTTAATGTAAATGAATAAAGTACATATTTGATTCATGTTATTATGGTGTGTTTCTATGTAATACCCTTAAACTGGACACATATGAGACTCGTGTTAGTTTAGAATCTTCACAGCTGTTGGATAGATCTGGAGAGATTTATCCTGCCAAGGCTGACACTGATGTGCCGCCAAGTTGGTTGGGGTGGCTTGTCTCAGCTGCCAGGGTGAGACCTGAGATACATGCAGTGTGGGTTTTCTTGAAACCCTGAATCGGACCAGAATTCCAGTATTGCCCTGGACCTTGGAGATTGATGGGCAAAACTAGAATATTACACTTGACCCCTAGACTCGATTATGATACTGCACTAGGTGTCGGATTGGGCTATCTTTGATATGTCAATCAGTGAGATCCTTAGAGTGGGTCAAAACTTGGTATGTTGGGACAGTCCGAGAATTCATCTGAGTGGGTGATCATAGTGATAGGATCAACCCCTTTGTCGAACAAAGGTAATGATCGGGGATGCACTCTCTCTGATGGAAACCAAAGCTGCCAGTAGCCAATTTCAATCGTTGAAATTTGTTTTTGCAAAATATATTTATATAAAGATATACATATATATATTACGGTTTCAAAATGTTTGCAAAAGGTTTTAATTCCCGGGATCCATGTGAGTAGAGAGTGCAGCATTGTTCCTTGCAACCGAGGGAGAGGTCATCTCTTGTTGGGCACTGTTTGATCATTAAGGGCTGAGAGGTTAAGTGTAAGACCATTGAGGGTAATATCTGATGGGCTAATCTTGCATCTACCCACATTCCTTGGGTTTTTATAAGGTGTCTTGACCTAGGGACCACTTAGTGTAAGTGTTGGGCCCAATAAGAGCCCATGGTGATGGGCTCAGGGGTTCACTGTCTTTTACAGTGAATTCGGCCAAGCCTTGTAACAGAGGATAGGCTAAACCCATGTGGCTGATGTGTAAATCAATGTTTGGGTTCCACGCCATACAAGGATACCCAACTGGGCAGCAGTTTGGAGGTTGAATGAGCACATGGACTTAATGGGCCTAAAGCCCAAATCGAACTGGTTTAATTTGATTAATTAAAGAGGGGTAGTTCTGGGATTTAGATCAGCAGATAGGATAGGGAGTTATCCCTATCCACTCAGAGAGTCCAGATTCAAATAATGATTTGGATTAGGAAACTCCTAATAAGATTAGGAGGGCTGATCTTTATCTACAGATAAGATAAGGGTTTTGTCCTTATCTCTTAAAGAGAGTCTAGATCCAAATACAGATTTGGATTAGGAAACTCCTAATGGGATTAGGAGGAGCTCTCTTTAAGGCAATAAATAGAGGAGGAGGGCGAACCCTACTTCACCATTTTAGAAAAAAAAAAGATTTAAGTGTTCATATACAAGAAAAAAATCCTGGCTCTGCCACTGTGCATGAGCAATTCAAGCAGTTAATTAGATGGTTGAGCCTCTGGATAAGCCACATATTCATTGCTGCTATTCACATATGATCAATACTATTAGGTTCATATCAAAAAAAAAAAAACTACAGGGTTATTTCTCACAAAATCCAGTCACTAAAATGTCATATTTTCAATTATAATGTCCAAAAAAGAGAGGCTTTCTTCCAGCATCACAAACACATTAAACCCTTCTATCCCAGGTATGTCAAGGATACAGCTGGATACAGTATTGGATACAAAAATGTTACACTAAAAGTTAAAGTGTCTGACACAATACAGCACTTGTACAGGTATCATAGCAGCACTTACGCTACCACCTTGAAGATGCCTAGATATATTTATCAGCTTACTAGATGACACATCTAAAAGACCTTGTCCAGTACACCAATTTAGCAAGAAATGAAATAATTGGCTTCACAATGTGGACCTAAAATATATTGTCAATAAAGGATAGCTTTTATTTTTTATTGGAATTTGGAAAAAGCATCAAATCAAAGGTATGCACCTTAATTTCTTGTTGAAATTATGTAAAAAACAGTACAAATAATAACTAGTTGTGAAAAACAAAAATAGAAGAGTTCAAGAAACAATACGAGGAAATGTTCACCTTCAGTTCCTTTCTCATGGCCCTAGTTATTGCTGTTAATGCAAAACCTGAAGAACCTGATGTGAGATAGGGTCTTCTATAAACCATTGCATCTACCTCTTTCATTTTGTAAGGCCCACAACTGGTCAATGGTTTATCACTGGCCCTGAGAGGATCCTGAATGTAGGCAGGAGGTCAAAATTTACAAGTAAGCTGAACAGAATTAGTAGGACTACAGTTCATAATCAATTAGTAGGTGTTCTAACCTGTGAGAAGATTTCACCCAATAAAAAGTTGCTGAATATGGACAAGGTTGACGGAAGTTCAGCGTGATTTTCAACTAGCTTTGATGCAACAGAAGGAAAAGACAAGTGCAAGAAAAATGTCAGCTTTCCTCAAAAGATTCAAGAATGCTGCTTGAAATTATTCAGGTCCAGCTGGCTTAGAAGATTCAGTTAAGGCAGAAATCTTGGCACTTCTACAAGGTTTGAGATTCAGACTGGTCTCAGAAATATAGAAGTTGAAGGTGACTCACAACTAGTAACTCATCGGGCAAAGCAACTCAAAGTAGCATCTTGGAAATACAGACATGAATTTAGGGAAATTGATGTTATTGCAAAGAGTAGAAATCCAAACTTCAACACAAAGCAAATAAATTCAAACTTCATCTGGGTGAGAACTGCAAATGGAGTAGCAGATGTACTAGATAAACAGGGAGTAGACAGGCCAAGTCTTTTCTGGGCAAACTTGTAAACTTTGTCACTGAAGGGTGTTGGAATCTTCCAACAGTTGTAATAAGTTTTAATCCTCAATACTTAATAAAATCCTTTTGCTGATAAAAAAAACAATCAATATAACAAAATTAGGAAGTGATAGAAATACATATAAGCATCTGTTGTTGGTTCAAATAATGCTTACAGGAGGATTAAGAAGTATGAGATCATTCAACTTCTCTTGATGGTTGCTAGCATATTTGACAACAATTGGAGCAAAATATCCCTGTAATATAATTTACAGATTAGACATTCTTCCACATTACAAATCACATGTAAGAAATTTGGATCTGGAGCTTCTACCTCTTGGCATTTGTGGTAGTGACATACCTGAACAACAAGGGAAACTTTATCTCTGACAAGTTGACCAATAAGAGATTCCAAGGCCAACACATATTCTGTATCATGACAAAAAATATAGATGGAATAAAACTTTTTAATTTTTTGAAAAGGTGAAAAAAGGTGTATGCATCCCTTTCATTTTATTTTGGTTCCATCACTGAAGCTTCGCAAGTTACCATCCAACGTGTAGTCAAAACCATATCCTGGCTGAGGCTTATCTGAAAATCCAAAACCTGAAAAAAGGAAATGCTTTTCCTTGTAAGCTTCTAATCAACATAAACGGATAAACCCAAAAAATATGGATGCAGTCATGAAACCCAGTCTTTATTAAGTCTTATTTTCAGCAAACCTAAGCAACCAGAAGTATTGAATCTTCAAGTGAAACTTAACTCAGTCCACCACAAACAACCCAAGCCCCATACAGGTTCTAAACTTCTAACAATATAATTCTATACACTCTGAATAAATCAAATTAGTCCGATCAACTAGTCATTGAAGTGAAGGTCATCCCACCACCCTTGAGTAAAAAGTTCCACCATATCATTATTCATGGTAACATTCAATGCATCACCATATAATGATTCTTTAAATTCCATTCTAGTTAGAATTATTCAAGTAATCAGACCCACCGTCTCTATATCTATGATCATTTTCTCCTAGGGTTGACATATACTGGATAGGATTAACCTCATCTTGAAATTGGCTAGGAACCTAAGCTGCATGGCCAGTTACAAGCAAGCCCAGCTCATGACCTTTTAAACCTCTGGGTATGTGTATTCCTGCCAGTGAATATAAGAACTGACACGAAAGTCACATAGCCAATCCCTACCCGTCTGGCTAGGTTCTATACCAAGAATTTGTCCAATTTGATTTGAGCTTAAATCAAACACAAGCAACTAACCACTTGCAAAACACTTTACCTAAAAGAGACAAGAATTTCTCCTCTTAGGGACCAAGTTGAAACATTTGTAATGAAGGATTTGGAGTATGTTTGGCAAATAAGTGGTTTGGAAAATATGTACTTGTTAGTGCTTGGGAGATCTTTTCTCAAACCACTTATACTTATTTTAAGTACTTATTTTTTTACAGTGTTTGGTGAGTCACTTATCCCATAACTGATCCTGTTTCCACATTCACTGCAACAGTAGTGTGAAGAAGAGAAGAGGGAAAGAGAGAAAGAGAGGAGGAAAGAAAGAAGAGAGAGAGAGAAGAAGAACAAGAACAAGAACAAAAGGAAGAGAAAATTAAATAAATAAATAAAAAGGAGAGAAAGGCAGCGGTGGTTAGGGAAAGACTCAATTAAAACAGTGGAGGAAGGAATAGGAGAGAGAAGATAAATATACATATATATATACATGTATGGAGAGAGAGAGAAGGCGTGGTTGTATTTGGGTTTTTGGAGGTTACACTGTTACATGTGTATATTTGTAATGCTAATAAATTTTGAGGACTTGTATGTATTTATGGGAGGAAGAGCCCTGTGGGAAATTCTGGTATAATTTGGCATTTGCCTTATTTAAGCCTTTGGTTGTATGGGATTAGGGTTGAGTGAGAGTGGAGGGGCGCTCATCTGAATAACGAGATTGAAGAGATGGAGACAACGATGTGGAAGAGATCTTTATAGATTGAAGCAAAAAGCCTGACCCTAGAAAATTGTAGATGTAAGGATCGAAGATTTCTGAAGTTAAAAAAGGAGAGGAAAGCTACAATTTATCTAAGCAAAGAAGCAATACAGTGGTTGAAGGGCTTTGTGGATGGTGTGCAGTTCTCTGTTAAAACGATAGGTTGGAGAAGCACCCTGAAATCAGCAGATAGAAGATTTGAGGCAGTGTTGCGGTGGAATAGGAAAGGATGGTATGTAACAGTAACTGAATTCTTTGAAGGAGATTGCTGGCAGATGGTCTGTCTGCTGGAAGGAAAAGGAAGCAGGGTTTCGAAGGTGATCTCTGAGGAATTGCAGAAGTTTCTCTATTTCACCCTTCCAGAATCTCAAAGAGAGAAGTTGTTGGGAAAAGTGTGCGAAAGATGATCAACTGGCTGAAACAGTGGAGTTTTTAGAATCTAACAGGAATGCAACGAGTAGGGACGATGATCAACATAACTTGCAGGGGACTCGTATAATTGCTAGCTCGTTTAATGTTCCTAAATTGTCGATGGAGGTGGAAAATGGCGAATGGGAGAAGAGGTATGTTATTTTGGCAAAGGAGGAAGTGAGAGATTGGAATCCAGTCCTGAAATCGATGATGGAAGAATTGAAGATTAAGAATAGTGTTGTTTGTTTACCTTTTAGCTATAATAAGGCTATTGTCAACACAGGAGATGAAATATTGGAAGCTTCATCAGTTAAAACTGATGCAGGGTTGGTGTTGATTGAAAAATGGAAGGTGTCCTGCAATGAGAAAGATTTTACAGAGGATTGTGTTACTGTTAAACTGATACGACGGCCGTTTAATCTGTGGAAAGGGGATTCAATTAAGAAATTTGCATGTGCAATAGGTGGATCGCTGAAGGATTATTGCTTTGACGATTTGTATGCTGTGAAGATTATATTGACTGGAGTGAAATTGGAGTGTATCCCTTGCTCCTGTGACCTGTGGATTGAAGGACAATGGAGGAAGGTTTGGGTTGTTGCAGAAGTTGAAGTGGCACTGTGGAACGGCTACTCCAAGGTTAAAGATGATGAGCTGGCTAAGGGGTCAAGTGGCAGAAAGAAAATGAGAGGAAAAAGAAGCGGAAAGGAAGCGTCTGTCTCAGAAGATGAGCAGCCTTTTACCTTGGGTCGAGAAAAGAGCTCATCGAAAATGGAAAACAAGTTGATGGTTTTTAAAGAGGCAAACAATGGGGCGCTTGGTTAAAAAAGGGACAAAGGCTAAAAAGGTGTTTTTTTTGGTGAAAAAAAAATGGTCCAAATGGGCTCGGTAGCCCAAAGAGCCAGTTAGGGCTGGATGGGCAAGACAGCTTAAAAGGTACTGGGCCCAAGTCGGCCTGTTTTCCTTATGGGCCTCTCGGTCACGTATTGCTAAAGAATAGGGAGATTATGGACAGGAACTTACATCTATCTTCGTAACTGGTAAGTTTTAAATAAGTTCCTTTCACGATTCGTCCAAGACAACAAAGAAGCTTGGCTGGAGCTGGTTCGGGTAAAAGAAGTTGGGGAAGGGTTAATATGTTCAAATGATCGAAGGCAAAGAAATCAGCAAGCTTTGAAAGTCAAGTTTCAAAACTTCCCTGGAGTGTTGGAAAGATGAAGAAAGAGGTTTGGGAGTGGGTGACTACAAGGTTTATCTGTTCTGATGAGACGAGTTCGCCAATATGTATGAGAAGCTCGAAGTCTGAATTAGGATCAGATAAGTGTTTGGGTGAGTTTCAAGTGCCTCTTTTGGATCCGCCAAAAAGTTGTAAAGTGTGGTCTCGAAACAGGGGAGAATCACAGGGACTCAATGGCACTTAAGACCTCAGATCTAGCAGAGTTTGAAGGGGATGGTGCAAATGTTCTAGACAGTGTGGCGAAGAGCAATGCAAGCCCAAAAACGTTTGACAGTAAGGAGTTATATCAGATGCCCGGGAGAGAAACAATTGTAGTGGAATTGGATCAGATGTATGAGGAGGAAGGCAGGAGAAAATCGGTGGTAGTTGGGTAAATTAGGGGTGGACCTGGGTAGGAGAAGGAATGGAGGAGCCTCAGAGAATCCTGTTAATGACACACTTAAGACAGGGGAGCTCAGAAAATCAAAAGGGCCCGGAAACATGCAGCTGGTTCATGTGACCAAAGTTTTTCACAGGCTTAAGGAAGGGCTTGTAGGGGACGGCCCCTGTGATTAGGGACGGCCCCTTGTGGAATCTAGACTTGAGCTTTTAGAGTTCAGGTCGTTTTTATATGAGAAAGAAGATCAAAGGGTCATTTGGTAAGGAAATCTGATCTGGTTGGTATATTAGGGCATCTTCCAGTCCTTATTTTTAACGCTATTAAAGCTTTATTTGGATTTTTCTCTTTTGTTGGCTCTTTGGAAGGATTCCCACTATGGAAGGATTTATATTTCCCTCCTCGCCTTGTGGGTTATGCTCCCTAGCATCTGAACTAGTTCCTATCTTCAAGCAAATTCCGGTTTCTATGTTGCATATCAACTGTTCGATTTATTGTCTAAAAGGTTGGTTGTGGGTCATTTAGCCAAGTTTGGTGTTTTCTTTGGGATCTCTAATTTTTCGAAGAAGTATTATAGAAGCTCTACAACTTCTCTGGCCTATTTATGATTATCAATATCAGCATGTGATACTAGAGCTCAAGGTGACTATTTGGTGTTCAAGAAAATGTCTCACTGGTGCAAATTTCTACAATGGTTCTCCATTGTTATGATCAGTTCTGATCTAATCTTGTTTATGTCTTGGTTTAATATTTTGAATTTTGGACTATTTTGGTGAATGATGCATCTATTATCATCAGTCGATATCTGGTTTGTTTACCTCATACATGTTTTGCATGGAAGGATGTTTGATGAAATGTTTCAGCAATGATCCTTTATTATGCTCATTAGTTCTGAGTTATTGTTGAATAAATCCTTGGAGTTTTGATCTCCTTCGGTGACGTGGGATTTTGATTCACTTTATCTAATTAGCTTTCCAATTGGAAAACTCCAATTCCTCAATTTGGTTTACGGAGTTCAATATAGTTGGCTTTCCGCTAGCCAACTCTATTTTGGCAATTCCGTTGGCATTTCTAATGATCTAGTTGTTTGACATGGTTGGTTCTTCAGTTTGGAGATTGTGATCAGCCTTTTGAGGGTTAAATTTGATTCTTTGGCATGATATGTGTTGGCTTTCCGATGGCCAACTTTAGTTTGGTGATTACTAGATCATGACTTCGCTCTACTCTGGCTTTCCAACACGAGTTCATTCAACTTTCTAACATCCAACTTTGGTTTCTAAGAGGCCCCTTCAACATCTCAAGTTCCATGGTTGTTGGTTCAACAATACACATATTTTCATGGTGGTTGCTTCAACATCCTTCTTGCAAACTCAAGTTGGTTTCCCCACCTTGAGTTTGAGGGAGGGTGTCAAGAGATATATTGTATTTGGGTTTTTGGAGGTTACAGGTGTATATTTGTAATGTTGATAAATTTTGGGGACTTCTATGTATTTATGGGAGGAAGAGGGGCCTGTGTGAAATTCTGGTAATAATTTGGCCTTTTTCTTATTTAAGCCATTGGTTGTGTAGGATTAGGGTTGAGTGAGAGTG